CAGCATTTCACCAGCATTCCTCCAAAATAAAAGTTTGAGGATTTGAATGTGAGAATTTAAGACATAAATATTAATTATGTAATATTTTTTAGATTTATTCATTTTTCTATTTTACAGGACCATTTTAATTTACGACAGTAAAATATTTATATCTATGGAAGCTTGTTTCCGCCACAAAATAAAAAAATAGGTAATTGCGAGTTTATTTCTCACAACTCTGAGAAAAGATGTCAGAATTGCGAGATATAAACTCACAATATCGTGTTATAAAGTCTGAATTGCGAGATATAAACTCACAATATCGTGTTATAAAGTCAGAATTGCGAGATGTAAACTCAATATCGTGTTATAAAGTCAGAATTGCGAGATATAAACTCACAATAACGTGTTATAAATTCAGAATTGCGAGATATAAACACAATATCGTGTTATAAAGTCAGAATTGCGAGATATAAACTCAATATCGTGTTATAAAGTCAGAATTGCGAGATGTAAACTCAATATCGTGTTATAAAGTCAGAATTGCGAGATATAAACTCACAATATCGTGTTATAAAGTCAGAATTGCGAGATATAAACACAATATCGTGTTATAAAGTCAGAATTGCGAGATATAAACACAATATCGTGTTATAAAGTCAGAATTGCGAGATATAAACACAATATCGTGTCATAAAGTCAGAATTGCGAGATGTAAACTCAATATCGTGTTATAAAGTCAGAATTGCGAGATATAAACACAATATCGTGTTATAAAGTCAGAATTGCGAGATATAAACACAATATCGTGTTATAAAGTCAGAATTGCGAGATATAAACAATATCGTGTTATAAAGTCAGAATTGCGAGATATAAACTCAATATCGTGTTATAAAGTCAGAATTGCGAGATATAAACAATATCGTGTTATAAAGTCAGAATTGCGAGATATAAACTCAATATCGTGTTATAAAGTCAGAATTGCGAGATGTAAACTCAATATCGTGTTATAAAGTCAGAATTGCGAGATATAAACACAATATCGTGTTATAAAGTCAGAATTGCGAGATATAAACTCAATATCGTGTTATAAAGTCAGAATTGCGAGATATAAACAATATCGTGTTATAAAGTCAGAATTGCGAGATATAAACAATATCGTGTTATAAAGTCAGAATTGCGAGATATAAACTCAATATCGTGTTATAAAGTCAGAATTGCGAGATATAAACAATATCGTGTTATAAAGTCAGAATTGCGAGATATAAACTCAATATCGTGTTATAAAGTCAGAATTGCGAGATGTAAACTCAATATCGTGTTATAAAGTCAGAATTGCGAGATATAAACACAATATCGTGTTATAAAGTCAGAATTGCGAGATATAAACACAATATCGTGTTATAAAGTCAGAATTGCGAGATATAAACTCAATATCGTGTTATAAAGTCAGAATTGCGAGATACAAACTCAATATCGTGTTATAAAGTCAGAATTGCGAGATATAAACTCACAATATCGTGTTATAAAGTCAGAATTGTGAGATATAAACTCACAATATCGTGTTATAAAGTCAGAATTGCGAGATATAAACTCACAATATCGTGTTATAAAGTCAGAATTGCGAGATATAAACTTACAATATCGTGTTATAAAGTCAGAATTGCGAGATATAAACTCACAATATCGTGTTATAAAGTCAGAATTGCGAGATATAAACTCAATATCGTGTTATAAAGTCAGAATTGCGAGATATAAACTCACAATATCGTGTTATAAAGTCAGAATTGCAAAATATAAACTCACAATATCGTGTTATAAAGTCAGAATTGCGAGATATAAACACAATATCGTGTTATAAAGTCAGAATTGCGAGATATAAACTCACAATATCGTGTTATAAAGTCAGAATTGCGAGATATAAACACAATATCGTGTTATAAAGTCAGAATTGCGAGATATAAACTCACAATATCGTGTTATAAAGTCAGAATTGCGAGATATAAACACAATATCGTGTTATAAAGTCAGAATTGCGAGATATAAACTCACAATATCGTGTTATAAAGTCAGAATTGCGAGATATAAACACAATATCGTGTTATAAAGTCAGAATTGCGAGATATAAACTCACAATATCGTGTTATAAAGTCAGAATTGCGAGATATAAACTCACAATATCGTGTTATAAAGTCAGAATTGCGAGATATAAACACAATATCGTGTTATAAAGTCAGAATTGTGAGATATAAACACAATATCGTGTTATAAAGTCAGAATTGCGAGATATAAACTCACAATATCGTGGTATAAAGTCAGAATTGCGAGATATAAACACAATATCGTGTTATAAAGTCAGAATTGCGAGATATAAACACAATATCATGTTATAAAGTCAGAATTGCGAGATAAACACAATAGCGTGTTATAAAGTCAGAAGTGCGAGATATAAACTCACAATATCGTGTTATAAAGTCAGAATTGCGAGATATAAACTCAATATCGTGTTATAAAGTCAGAATTGCGAGATATAAACTCAATATCGTGTTATAAAGTCAGAATTGCGAGATATAAACTCACAATATCGTGTTATAAAGTCAGAATTGCGAGATATAAACACAATATTGTGTTATAAAGTCAGAATTGCGAGATATAAACTCACAAGTGTGAGAGAAAAAGACGCAATTATCTTTTAAAATGTTTTATTCTGTGGCGGAAACAAGCTTCTATAATATCTTAAAGGAACACTCCGACTTTTTGGGACTTTAGCCTATTCACCTTATCCCCCAGAGTTAGATAAGTCCATACATACCTTTTTCATCTCCGTGCGTGCTATAATGGTGCGTTCACGTGCTATGGAAAATATGATATTTTCCACTTGTGAACTGGTATTTACCAGTGTGTTGCGTTCAAGTGCTTTTGTTGTCGTAATGTGGTAAAAAGATGGAGATCCAGACCTGTTATTTAGCTAAAACTATTTTAGATTGCTTAAGTCATCTGCTACAGCAAGAAAATGATTTATCAAAACTCAAACGTAAATAATATATGCTGTATATTTTCTAGATCATGAATAGTACATATTTTTACCATTCACAACTCTTGCGTTGCTCTCCGCCATTTTGAAAAGGTCAAAGGTAATCTCATCTCGGCAACTCGTGCATCAAAATATTCTACGAGTTGCCCAGTGGAAAATACCACATGAGGGGGTGTTCATGTGCATTTTCCATGTCGGCTTTTGGTATTAACCATAATTACCATAGCACGTGAACGCACCATAAGTCTGTTTGACGCACCCACCGCTAGCCTAGCTTAGCACAAAGACTGGATGTAAATGGTTGCAGCTAGCATACTAATCCAAATAAGTGACAAAATAACGCAAACATTTTTCTATTTACATGTTGTGATTTGTATAGTCACAGAGTGTACAAAAAACAAAGTCACCTGAGACACAGACATATTTTAACCGTATAAATACTGGGAACTATATTCTCTGAAGGCGAAGCACTGCTACTTGGGCGGAGTGATAACCGCAGCACCTGAGACGCGCCGTGGTGAGGAGCAGAGAGAGCGTCTCAGGTGCTGCGGTTATCACTCCGCCCAAGTAGCAGTGCTTCGCCTTCAGAGAATATAGTTCCCAGTATTTATACTGTTTAAATATGTCTGTGTCTCAGGTGACTTTGTTTTTTGTACACTCTGTGACTATACAAATCACAACATGTAAATAGGAAAATGTTTGCGTTATTTTGTCACTTATTTGGATTAGTATGCTAGCTGCAACCATTTACATCCAGTCTTTGTGCTAAGCTAGGCTAGCGGTGGGTGCGTCAGATAGAGTTACAGCACGCACGGAGATGAAAAAGGTATGTATGGACTTTTCTAACTCTGGGGGATAAGGTGAATAGGCTAAAGTTTCAAAAAGTCAGAGTGTTCCTTTAATATAATAACAATAATCCCTTTATATGTGCAGCACTACTCATCAAAAAAAAAAAAAGAAAGATATTTCATCTGTGGGTGTCATGTGACCATTAACCAACATTAGAGAACCACAAACATGTGAATGAGTTGTTGTTTACATTAATAAAATATTATTTAAAATTACAGGCGAACAGTTTGGGAAACCCTGCCTAAAGACAAGAGGTGTGGCAAACACTTTAAGAGGCAGTTCCCCAGATAAGACTAAAACACAAAAGGAGGTATTTTGAAGAATGCTCACGCTGCTCTTTTCCATACAATGAATCTATATAAGCACTGTCACGCTCCGAAATGGTCCATTAATCCACTGTACATGAAATCTTTTGAACTGATCGGCGTGGTATGGACAGAAACAGCTGAAATGTTCTTCTAAATATCTTCCGCAGAGGACAGAAAAGAATCATCCATTTAACAACCATTGCTACCTAACATCATAGTGAGGAAAAACCTCAGGAACACCTTTTGTGTTACACAAAGCCCGCCAAAAGAATGTGCTCTGACTAGTTAAAGTACATACAGTTAATCCAAACATTATTCACACACCAGATATCATTTGTGATATTTGTTTACTAGTGTGTGCCGGACACTATAGTTCATTTATGTAAGTGAGGAGAGCAGAATAAAGTAAACTGTGACATATTACACCCATAAACTCTTCATACAGTGACTACCAGTAAAAATTTGGGAGCAAAAATGATTCCTCCACTTTGAGCTGATCATGTTTTGCTGAAGTGTGTTTTCTGTAATTGCTAATGCTCTTTTTACACACACACTGCACAACATGAAGCATTGCTTGGTCACTGGTTGAGCTAAACTGGTATTCTCTAATCGTGTAGTTAAATTTAACAGCTGACAGATATTCAACATAATTCATGTGTGAGAGTCTAACAGAAGGACGGACAAAACCAGTCAAATATCCACTGATCTGAGAACTGAGTTCTGCTCATGTTTATCACCATTTTCTAAACTATAGCGAATAAACTGATACTGTGAGAAATGTTGAAGGTTGATAATGTGAGAAATGTTGGTTCATGCATGTATTGTCTGACCTGGCTGCTGCTCCTGGCGTTTCCACTTCTCCTTCTCCAGCCGCAGAGCATCTTCCGGGTGAACAGGCCTTCCCAGCTCATCCCGAGGGATGACGCGTCCATGGAACGGGCACTGAAATCACATCACATTTCATTCCAGTACTCTATTCAACCGGTGTCCCGCTCATGTGCGGCCGCTCCTCTGACCTTTACTCTATCCTGGCGTTCACACAAAGACCCGTCTGGCATCGGCGCTTTGCACTTGTGCTCCACTGGTTTGAATTTCCCAGCGAATGTGATGTATCTGGACTTCATCTCTGCAGAAAGCTCCTTGTTTTCCACTTCTTCCTCCACCTCGTGAGGAACCCAGAACTGGTGCTGCGATGTGTTCCTGAAAACCAGTGAAAAAACAGGAAAGAAACGGCACACATCGCATCATCATGTAGAAATTGCCTTCACAAAGCGCATTTTTTGCATGACTGTCAGATTTGCGCAAAACTTTTGCGATTTTTACTAAATGTCGATAAAAAACTATTGCGAAATGACGGTGTTTCCATTAACCGATGTTATGCGACTACAACGTCCTTTTTCCCTCTCACGATAAGTCATTTAAACATCAACGGGTAGGTTTATAGCCTATATCCCTATATCACAGCCACCACGCTAGACATTATTATTATTAATGGAAGGAGACGTGGTGTGTTATCCAAGCATTAATGGCAGGGAAAGACCCGTAAACTGCGAACGGCATAGGAGTTTCTGGGTGTTTCTCCCTCATTTCTGCTCCGAGGTCTGATTGTGGCATTTCTTTGAGGTTCAGAATCCAGTATTCCTGTAACCTATTGTTTCTTTTATGAATTTAATAAAGAACTCTGTCCAAACGGTCAGTGTACATTTGTGTCCATTCGTTTTTCCTGATTTAACCCGTATTGCAAAACGAAAAATGAACGGGGGTTGTTTTTTTAAAATGCAAAGTTGAACACCAATTTTTTTTTTTTGAACTACACAAATGCTGCGAGAAAAAAAAATCGACTAAATTTCAGATGTTTTTTTATGACTTTTTGCCCCTTTATTAAACATTTAAAATATTCACAACTTAATACCAAAAAAAAAAAAAAGTAGATTTGAATGGTTTTCTAAGGCCAAATTAGAACCTGAAAATTATATTTTTCCCGCAGTGCTGAATGAGAAGAGCCATATTTAGGCCTATGTCTCTGGAACCACAGCCTACAGAAAGGTGTCTTAGGTGAGTTATAGGCTAATGATAATAAATGTGTCTGAAAAAAATAATGAGGCATTTTAATTTTATTAATAAACTATTGTTTTCTAAATTAGTGTCGGCTAAAAACATATCTCCATCTCCGCTGAGGCGCGCCGCGCGAATACACCTTTAGAGAGAAATGCACCTTTCATACGGATAACATAATCAGAAGGTATTAGCTTTCGATTCGAATTTGTTCGTTTTAAAGTGGACATTTCAAGCTTTAGCCTACATAGGCGATATACTTTGTTTCAGTTCTCGCGCTCCAGTTCACGGAGACCATGAAAGTGCGCCTGATTGTTTTATTTTATTTTACAAAAGCACGACGTTTTCTTGTTATTGTGAGTTTACACAAATAAAAGCATAGTTGCGAATAATGTATTATTATTTTCTGTATGACCAGAAATTATAGAGTATTTTAAGTTGTTTCCACTGTTGATAGGAAAACGCAAGTGTTCGCGCCCGCGCCTCCCTGAGTGCAGCGCGCTCACACTCCCCACAAACACTTGGATATGCGTCAAAATCTTGTGTTTATTTGTGATAATCTTAGCCCTGTATTATTATTGTCTAACCATTATGAATGACATTTGACGAATTGCTTTGTTCCTTTTTTTGGATAAAAGCATCTTCTAAATATGTAGCCTAATAAATGTTATAATAAGGATGATAATTATTAGCCTATTATTATTTGCGTACACCACGGACCCCAAACACACCGTGTCTTCTAAGTCAGGTGACTGTAAATGCGCAAAAACTGTTTTGCGAAATATTCCCTTTTCGAATTGCCTGAAAAACCTCCTCATGCGAGCGTAAAAACTTTTTTGCGATAAATGGGAGTTTTTGCGAAATTGACGTGTTTCCATTGAGCGTAATTTCAATTCGCAATTTCAATTTGCGCAATTTGAAGGGTAATGGAAACGCGGCTACTGAGCTCAATGACTTCTCCAGCCCGCGAAATTATGATTTCCTGATATTTCCAGGTTTTTCATGACTCTATATTGTACGCATAAATCTTGTATCATGATGCCAGGCAGTAAATCTCCAGATCAATGTTAAATTAGGTGAACAGGAGGAGATGTCATGCAGTGCTGCTCTCTAGTGGTCACTTCATGACACCATCCATTGGCGCTCCAGTGAGAGACGGATGAATGCGTGTTTGTCATGAACGAGGGCGTACTTGATGATTTTCCCGGCGGTGGGCTGCTCCTCTCCCCAGTAGTACAGATCCACTCCGAACGGGACGACCGGCGCTGCTCCGCTCACGGCCTCCTGGCCACTGCTCACCACGGGCTCACTGAAACACCACAACACACTCATCAACACAACACCAGGGTTCTCAAGTCTCACGCATTGGCCGTGAGACACACGCAATTCAACCAGTTCACACGCTCACACGCCACACCGTGTATATCTCACGCTGAAAAGGCAATGCCAACCAAGTTGTCCTGCCAGCTTTATATATAACGTTGTATACGAGGCGCATGCACACAAAGATAAGTTTCCTGCCGCCAGCGCGTCCGCATCTCGGCCTGATTGCGTTCGTTACTAGGCAACTTATAGACGCGCGAAGTCCGCGAACACACACGGAAGTTCGGCCACCGCGACATCGCGCGAAAACACGTCGTGATGGAGAAAGTAAGTTGGAAGAAAGCTCGCCTAACATTTTTAGACTAGAACATTTAATATATAGCCCATCATATACATTATTGATGCAGTCAAAAACTCTACAACTGCTTTGCAACCAGGCCAAAAGCTTTGGCTCAGTTTGGCTAAGGAAATGTTATTGGGTATGGGAAGGAATGAAGATGTATTTCTTCAGTTTATTTTAAATTCTATATTATACTGTATTAATAGTATTTCTAGTTACATTAAGGCTAAAGCAGAGTGCTCTTGGTAATATTGTATATCCTGTCAAAACATACATTAGCCTAATCATTGCCATTGCATTTGTATTTTTCAAAGATGTCAGGGAAAAATGCAAAAATATTTGTTTTTCCAAACATTTTGGAGCAATTTGTTATATATTTGTAGCCTAATTTTGAAATATAACATTAAAGAGTAGGCCTATATTTGATGTGATGAATTGCTCTGTCATTTATCAGATTTACCAATTGTTATAATTTCAATTTTTGCTGGTTATGAACAATTTTAAAATTGGGGGCGGGGCTAGGCAGGGGCGGGGCTCAATTTAGGCCCCTCCCCTAACCGCATGTGATCTCACTCCAAGCTTTTGATAAAACTTGAGAACCCTGCAACACTTCAATGCGTTTTGGTCATTCATTCACGCGACAGAAGCGTTTTGGGGGCCTGCAAACGCAAAACGGGTTTCAAAGTGCAATACCGGTATCGTCTCCATGTAAAACTACAAAACCGTGAATTTGTGTAAACGGTGACATCATGCGCATGCGTGTGACATGTTCAGTGTATAGACGCGTAGTGTTTCTTTATAACGTGACATCGCCATCTACTGGCCTGGCAGCAGAATACAGCGCTCGTGGATCCGTGTGAACGGGGGTCGTTTTGACAACGTTGGCGTTTGTATGTGAAAAACACATCGTTGTCATGTCTGTCAATGGGGTGAGGTTGTGGAATAATTTACCTGTAATAATTAAGGAAAGTAATCATATTGTGCAATTTAAAAGAGGGTTTAAAATGTCTATATTAGAAAAGTATATGAATTAAGGTGGACTTGGGACAAATGTCTCATTTTCTCTTCAAGAGGTTGATTCGAATTACCATACAGTCTGTTTCTTGCCATTTCATTAATATTTATATTGTTGTTAGTCTTACATTTTGTGTCTTTTTATTATTTGTGTCTTTCTTTCTCATTTTATAATTGTATTGTGTGATTTATTTGAAATGTACTGCAAATGATTACGTTTTTTTTTTTCTCTCAAAAAGGATAGATTATGATACTTTGTAAAGAGAAAACAGTAGCCGTTTCAAAGCTAGATGTATAAAAGGGGAAGGCAAATATAAGTTAGCTTCTTCCTTCTCCTTTTTTTCTATATTTTTTCTTTTCTTTTGAACATGCTGAGATTATGTTCTTATTATCTTCTTGTTAAAATATGTTCTGTTACTAATGATCATGTTCTGAAGAGGAAAAAGAAAAGAAAAGACACATCGTTGTCATGTAAACGTACCCTAACATCTCAAAACAACAATGTTTATTTTAGGTTTTTATTTAATTATTTTTAAAAGTACAGTATGTAGCTTTTGTCCTTCTATCAGTTAAAAGACAAAACTGCGGAAGAACATTGTTGTGGTTGTGCTTCGGCTCTGTGTGACTGTGCGGATGAGTATGATCTCATAACTAAAGAGAGAGAGATTATGCATGTTTTATTACGAGCTCTGTCTCACACACACACACACACACACACACACACACACACACACACACACACACACACACACACACACACACACACACACACACGATCTGATGTTGATTCTTTTTTTATTACGAGCTCTCTCACACACACACACACACACACACACACACGCACATGCACACACACGATCTGATGTTGATTCTTGTTTTATTACGAGCTCTGTCTCACACACACACACACGCACACGCACACACACGATCTGATGTTGATTCTTGTTTTATTACGAGCTCTGTCTCACACACACACACACGCACACGCACACACACGATCTGATGTTGATTCTTGTTTTATTACGAGCTCTGTCTCACACACACACATACACACACAGCGCGCACACACACATACACACACAGCGCGCGCACACACACACGCACACACACACACACACACGCACACGCACACACACGATCTGATGTTGATTCTTGTTTTATTACGAGCTCTGTCTCACACACACACATACACACACAGCGTGCGCACACACATACACACACAGCGCGCGCACACACACACGCACACACACACGAGTGACGCATGTACGCAATTTACTGTGAAAACCAACCCGTCAGGTCAAAAATATAATATAATTTATGAATATAAAAATATGACAAACATAATAAAATGTTTTTTAAATCATAAAATATAGAATCTGTATTTCTGCTACAAATGTAACTCTGTTACAGTAATAGAGGAAGGGAACATTTAAAAACGTGTGTTGAAAGCTCATGTGTTAGACTCATATTGAATATAGTGATTTTAGTAGTGGTCAGCCAATACAGTTTTTTTTATTTAATTTACACAATCATTTCTCAGATTTCACTAAAATATTTGACAATATTCTATACTGTTAAATCCTTTTGAGCATTTAATCATTTCCATATATTTCAGTATTTCACTGCTATTATTTTGTTCTTGTCTTTTTCTGCCCTACACTCTTGGTGATTAAAGGGTACAAAAGCTGTCACTGGGGCAGCACCCTTTCAAAAGGTACACTTTTGTACCTGAGGAGCGCATATTAGCACCTCAGAGGTACATATTGTTACCAAAAGTGTATATATTAGTACATGGTACATATTAGAACCTTTTTAAAAGGGTACCGGCCCCAGGGACCCTGTTATCTGCGAGTGTCCTGTCCATCAGTGTGTGTCCATCAGTGTGTGTCCTGTCCATCAGTGTGTGTCCTGTCCATCAGTGTGTGTCCTGTCCATCAGTGTGTGTCCTGTCCATCAGTGTGTGTCCTGTCCATCAGTGTGTGTCCTGTCCATCAGTGTGTGTCCATCAGTGTGTGTCCTGTCCATCAGTGTGTGTCCTGTCCATCAGTGTGTGTCCTGTCCATCAGTGTGTGTCCTGTCCATCAGTGTGTGTCCTGTCCATCAGTGTGTGTCCTGTCCATCAGTGTGTGTCCTGTCCATCAGTGTGTGTCCTGTCCATCAGTGTGTGTCCTGTCCATCATTGTGTGTCCATCAGTGTGTGTCCTGTCCATCAGTGTGTGTCCTGTCCATCATTGTGTGTCCATCAGTGTGTGTCCTGTCCATCAGTGTGTGTCCTGTCCATCAGTGTGTGTCCTGTCCCTCAGTGTGTGTCCATCAGTGTGTGTCCTGTCCATCAGTGTGTGTCCATCAGTGTGTGTCCTGTCCATCAGTGTGTGTCCTGTCCATCAGTGTGTGTCCTGTCCATCAGTGTGTGTTATGATCCGGTCACCTGGTGGACGGGGCAGGACCGAGCCTCTGTCGGAGCACACGCAGCGTGGCGGCGGCACAGGTGGGGTCCTGCTCTTCATCACTCCTCTTCCTCTGGAGTCGAGAGAGGCTGGCGGACACGAGGGGAACGGGGCGTCTGACCGGAGGTTTCGCCGGCTTTGCTTTGACCTCAGAGGCCGATGTCGAGGGAGTTTCATCAAGTCCTGCGAGAGACAGCGAGAAGAACGATGAAAACTAGTCAAACACTCAGAACGCCACATCTAAACTGTATGATTAGGGATCCCAGCACATGCAGCGGGGGTCTGATGGACTGAGCAGGGGCCTGTGGGAGTGAGCGGGGGTCTGATGGAGTGAGCGGGGGCCTGTGGGAGTGAGCGGGGGCTTACGCTGGACACGAAGATCCAAGACTCACCCTAAAGCTACCCAGCTTAAAACTTGAAAGTACGGTGAATTCCTCATGACATTGTTTACGAGACACTATACATGGACAAGCGGGTGAATGAGGTCTGTTCTTATAGCTTATCAACAAATATGGTTTTTAAAAGTCTACATAATGGGCAGTATTTTCAGATACGTTTAATAAATACTGTATGTGTATTTGTATATAGTTGAAACTCGAATAATTATAATATCGTGCAAAAGTTCATTTATTTCAGTAATTCAACTTAAAAGGTGAAACTAATATATTATATAGACTCATTACATGCAAAGTGAGATATTTCAAACCTTTATTTGTTATAATTTTAAAATTTTAAAAATGATTATGGATTACAGCTTATGAAAACCCCAAAGTCAAAATTAGAATATTGTGAAAACGTTTTCATAAGCTGTAATCCATAATCATTTTTAAAATTTTAAAATTATAACAAATAAAGGCTTGAAATATCTCACTTTGCATGTAATGAGTCTATATAATATATTAGTTTCACCTTTTAAGTTGAATTACTGAAATAAATGAACTTTTGCATGATATTATAATTATTCGAGTTTCACCTGTATATTTTTTTATAAATAACTGAGGTTTTTTATTTTACTTCACACACATTCCTGTTCAACTTTAGCTTTAGCTTGCAGCAAAACTAGGGCTGTGCAACGATGAATTGCGATTAATCGCATCCAAAACAAAAGTTTGTGTTTACATAATATACATGTACTGTGTATAATTATTTTG